TCTCTCTCTCTCTCTCTCTCCCCCTCCCTCCCTCGCCCACACTTGTTGGGTTTTGGTTTTTTAGGGGAGAGGGAGGTATACTTTGAGCCATTATTTACATCTCTATCTGAGAAATAATAGCATATAAATAAGCACATAACTCTCTGGAGTCAAAGTTCCTGGGTCCTGAATTTAAGCTTTTTCACTCACTAACTGTGGTAAATTTGTAAATTTTGCTGTATCTCAGTTTCCTCATGTGTAAAATGGGGCTTCTAATGGTGCTTATATAATCCTTATGTTATCTAAGGATTAAAGAAGATAATGCAAGATAATCTACTTGAAAACGTACCTCACACTTAGTAAGCACTTAATAAAAGGTAACTATTATCCCCCTGGCTTTATGCCATGTCTACCAATCACACTAATGAAATTTCAGCACAATTTTTTGTGTGTGATAAATTTTCTGGAATATTGTATAACAAGCTATATATGTGTATTTATCAGATTGTGTGTGAGTGTACGCCATATACATCAATGTGTTATAGAATTTCTTAATGAAAAGTTAAATTAACTCTGCAAATGATCCAAAAGGGCTAGTGTACCTCCTTGTACAATCCCAGAAAACAATCTAAATAATGATTGCCTTAAGGATTTTTACAGCATGTATAGCTTGATGATTAAAAAGAGTTTCTACAATACTAAAAACCCAATAGAAGAATGGATGGCAGTTTCTTTATTTGAATTTCTAGTAGAATTATGTAAAAAATTTGAGTAAAATGGTGCTGGACTCTAACTTGCTTCCTTATTATTAGAAGTAGTACCTCTCATTGTCTTTTATCATCACTGTTAACAGCAATAAATACATATGATATGTATGTTCTGTAGAGGATGCCAATAAGAACTGTAAATACAAAGAGGAATAAGACATAGTTTCTGCCCTCAAGTATTTGATGTTCTATTGTAATGGGTCAAACTGAACAAGATCATGAACTCCTCAAGGTCAGGAACTATATCTTCACCACCTTTGTATCCCTGTGTCTACCATAGTGTTTAGGACATGACCAGTAGCCATTAAGTTGTATTGAATTAATAAATAAAAATAACAACACAAGATACAAATAGTGTCAGAAAAAGGAAAAATCAATGTTGAATATGATCAGTTAGAACTTGAATTAGGACTTTAACTTACCCTTAATCAGAAAAAGATTAAAAGGTTCAGGCACATTCAAGTGCTATTGAATAGAGCAGTGAGCTAAGGGAGGTTTTGCAGGAGAGGAGCAGAAAATAAGGTTGGAAACAAATGGGAGTATGGAATGCTCTGACCTGGCAAAGGAGCGATTGATTCCTTGATTCTATGGGGAATAAACAGCTGTAAAGGCTTTTGAATGAGTAGTTAGTTAATAGAAGTGTTGTTAGAAGATTAGTGTGAGATTGCAGTGGGGTAAGATGGGAAGAGGACAGTTTGAAGACGGCTTGTAATGTTCAAGGCTAATGACGAGGAGGAGCTGCTGTGAGAGGCAGCAACAAGGATGGGATGTAAGGGGTAAATATCACAGACATTATGAAGGAGGAACTTACTTAGCCTGTGGCTGGCTAAATATGAAGGGACAGAAAGAATGAGGAGTCCTGGATGACTTCCCAGTTCGGAGCCTGAGTAACTGGAAATAACGATGCTTTTTACAGTAGGAGGGGCGTCCCAAAGAGAGTCAGCATGTGGAGGAAGAGCAGTTCCATTACAGGCATGCTGCATTTGAGGCGGCAGAGGAGCATCCTGGTAGAGACAGTTATAAATGCAAGGATGGGGATGATGATTTGCAGGAGGAACTGAAATAGATACAGTCTGAAAAAGAGGGAATATGGGCAAAGTAGAAGTGTCTTGAGCTGAGCTGTCAGGCACATTTAGCCATACTGAGGACAACTCAACAAAAATGGCAGAGATCAGAGAAAATCAGGACTGTGTAGCACCAGAGAACACAACAAAAGGGAGGGTTTCAGAAAAGCAAGAAGTGGTCAGTAATTTTAAATACTAGAGAACTTTCAAGAAGAATGAAGATGCAGCACTGAAGAGAATGCATTAAAAAATCAACAAGAGATTAATAAAGGATCAGAGATGACAGGAGGGAGGGAGGGAAGGAGGAAGGAAGGAAGGAAGGAAGGAAGGAAGGAAGGAAGGAAGGAAGGAAGGAAGGAAGGAAGGAAGGATCCA